CCCCCCCCCCCCCCCAAAAAAAAAAAAAAGATGACGATCAAGTGTAGTATCTGTTCTGGTCAGTTTCATATCATCGGGAGTTCTTTTATTAAAAAAAAAAAAAACGGAGAAAACAAGGAAATACAACGTGTGCATGTGCGCACATGCGCGCACCAGAGAGAGAGAGAGAGAGAGAGAGACCCCAAAGTAACTAACTACCCTCCCCTCGCCCCCGCTCCAAATGATCACGATCAGGTGTATTATGATACTATTATCTGTTCCGATCAGTTTAATATCTGACCCGTGGTCTATCGGGAGTTAGGAAAAAATAGAAAAAAAGAAAAAATAACGCACACTTGTGCACCACAGAGAGAGAGAGAGAGAGCCACCCAAAAGTAACTAACTACCCCCCCCCCTCTCTTCCAAATGATCACGATCGTGTAGTATCTGTTGATTCTGTTCCGATAAGTTTCATATCTGACCTGTGGCTCATCGGGAGACAGTTTGAGATAGATACTCCAAAACAAAGCAGACAGTGCACACCCAGCAGTTCGCAATGTCAACCCATGGGGGGATGCATTACAGTCATTCACTCATACTCCAAAACAAAGCAGACGGTGCACAACCAGCAGTTGCAATGTCCACCCATGGTGGGATGCATTACGGTCATTCAAACCTAGGGAGGTTGCTGACCAAGTCCTACACTTGGACAGCAGGGACAGGCAGTTTGAGATAGATAGCAAAACGGCTACTCTATGTAACGCAAACTCATGGGAGTATGTCAGTAAGATGCTGGAAAGACAACCAGACCAAAAGCACCTCCCTTTTGAGGAATATCGCAATTATCGTATGCAGAATTGCATATCTCCTGGCATCTGAGAAAGAATACTACTTGCACACAAAGGGGAAATTGTGGTGAGCGGGAGACAGGTATGCAAAGTGTGACACCCACACAGCAGGTTAACCACAACTGAAAGAAATGCTAACTGCAATCAGGTCTTTAACAGGACAAAAAAGAAAACAAAAAAGAAGAAAGAAAAAACACTATCCAAGCCTTACAAAGCAGCAGCAGCATTTCATCAACAGTGTCAACAACACTGCACAGGTGAGGCTGACAACCACCCAGGCCCCGCTTGAGCCCACCCCCTCCCCACAGACTCCCACCCATCCTCATTTGAACCCTTTCCCCTTCATTTTATAGCAAAAAATATATATAAAAAATCCATGGCAGCTGAAAGGTTCCTGGTGCTCTGGTCAGCCTAAGTGCGATCACCTTGAGCTCGTAGAGTATGCAAGCAGTTCTGAAGGTCATTTCCCACCCGTCTACTGGCTCCACCTCAATCTGATGATATTCACGCTTTGAGAATGCTTGCACACAATCCAGCAAGTCGTCGGTTGGCGGCAATGGATGTGATGTTTGTCGACCCGTTGTTGTCAGCACACATGTGGAGACAACCATCCTTCTTGGGGACAAACAGCAACAGCGCACCACCGTATGGCAAGCTGTTGGGATTGATCCTGCCGTTCTCTGTGAGCTCAGCAGCTATCTATTGAGCTCCTGCCAGCCTGAAGGCGACATACGGTACATTCCTTTCTTGGGAGGTACCGGGTCAGAAACCAAATGGAATGGGTGCTGTCAAAAAAAGGATCCCTGATACTGGTTGGTTTAACTGAGTAAGTTCCAACCTCTGCTCCCCAATGACCGAGGTAACTCTCTTACATCTCACATTAGGGCTCTCTACCATGTCTGTTGTGGTCCATGTCATTATTAATCATTGATTACCTAAATCATAATGCTTGTTGACAACTATCTTCTTTTTGCCCATTTCCTGTTCAGTGTAATGCAGGTAATAGCTGAGTCGGAGAAGAGAGTTACAGAGCAATCGGTTAAGAGTGAGCTGGTGGTCCCGAGTTGTTACGCAGACAACTCAGCTTTTACCACCAAGAAAATCCGTACACAGAGGCAAATTGAAAGCATCCTTGCGGTACGTGCTCATCGATGGCCTTACCACTTCTCCATTGGGATACACTTGTTATGAGGTATTAGCAATTTGTACTCCAGAGCAAGGCACGCTAAGAGGAGAGTCACAGACTACCTTTCGGAAACTGATGAAGCAGGCGGAAGCGAGGAGAGACGTCCATTGCGCTACCGTCTTCCCCCGTACAGATCATACGGTCGTTATCGCTGTATCTAGACTGAAACTTGCCCCAAATACCGCTTTAATAACTGTACGTTGTATTCGAGGGAAGACAATAGGTAGTCATTGTAGCTGGAGCACTTTTGTGCCATCCATACATGCGTGAGCAGTTTCCAGGGATCCCTACGCGAATGGTCTTGATGATGAACAACAGCAGGAAGCTGAAGTTTTCTATGACATTCTTGATGATGAGGATGATGACGACTCACTGGAAATCTCATATCCCGCTCTTTGAGCCTTTGATTGTGGAGTTGCAAGGTGCAGCAATGAATGGTAGTATGGTCATTGAATACAACATTTTATCAGCATTTGTAATTTTGTATGCTCCACGAGTCCATGGGGAAAAAGTTCCGAAGAAGACAAAATTTGGTGTCATGGTTTATGAACCACTGCACTTCGACGAAAACTTGGGATAGTGATTAATGATGACACTGATGGGACAAGGTGGTGATTTTCTGATTTTGGAAGTTTAAAACTTTGAGACCTGAAAATCGTACATCCTGGAGACCAGTGGGGAAGCTGTAGGTGTATACAGATAGGCACCTCCCATCCGGTGGTCTTGGACCAGTCCGAGACCTGCCCATGGTCTAGTTTTCAGCCCTGTTTCAACCACCACCATGTTATCTTGTATTTGTTCCACTGAACATTGTAAAACACTCCCACGTAGATGAGTCGGTGGTGCTACGCGGATTTCAGGTCGAGAAATGAATACGGAAGTCTGTTGTTGTCACAGAGGCACTGCATTCTACCGTGTGTAAGTCCCACCTGTACTGGACTATATCCGGAGAGTAACGTATGAGCTTTTGGAGACATTGTGTAGGTGTATACAGATAGGCACTTCCCATCACTGGGTCAGCTTGGACCAGTCCGAGAACTGCCCATGGTCGGTGGTGCTACATGGATTTCAGGTCGAGAAATGAATACGGAAGTCTGTTGTTGTCACAGAGGCACAGCATTCTACCATGTGTAAGTCCCACCCGTACTGGACTGATATCCGGAGAGTAACACATGAGCGTTTGGAGACATTGTGTGGACTGTGCTGTTACGTGGCCGAAGCTGAGTGTCTTGGCTTCCCTGTTTGCGTTGAACAACCTCAGTCAGTGTGCTTTTGCTATGTTAAAAATTGAGAGGTCTCAAGGTTGTGTCCCCCCCCCCGGCCTCGACTGTTCTGGTCCTTTTGTCTTCTTTTTAGGCTTCTGACCGTGCATCATCGTGATCTGCTTCGTGTATTATTTCCTGCTGGGGTTGTTGCTCCTGCTTCGTCTGTCGTTTGTTTGTTTCATTTGAAGAGCGTGCGTTATTGGGTTTATAATTTATGTCACAAATCTCGTTTTGATGAAATATGTGTTCTTTCGAATCTTTTTTCGTTTTATGAGTGTCATCCTTGCACAGGGGCCATGCTAATCTTCTCTGTATCGTTCCAATTAAAGTTATAACGGATGTCTCGAGGACAGTAAAATATGTCATTTATTTTTGTTTTGGCACATTGAAAGCCAGTAATGTCTTTACATAGTGGGTGCCTTAGCTGGACACCAAAAATTGGTGATTTATCTTTCGTTTAAGAGCGGCTGATGTAAACGTTTGGGTGTGCAAGGAGTATCAGCATTGTTTCGGAGGCCGAGTATTTTCGAACCGTCAAAGGTACTACTGGTTTAAGAGCGGCTGATGTAAACGTTTGGGTGTGCAAGGAGTATCAGCATTGTTGTTCCAACTTGTAAGTTAAGAGGACTGTGTGATGGACTACTGGGAATGACATTGCCACAAATTATGGTGGTGGATGTTTACTGCAGGCTGTGAAGAAGGCAGTGGATGCAGTGAAGAGGGGTGCGCCAGTCGAAACTGTCAAGCAAATCTGCAAGCCAGAATTTTTGACTGATCTTGATAAGGCTGGGGTAAGCTGGAACCATATCCTATTTCCTTCATCGGATAGTGTAACGAATAGTGCTACTGTATTTCGGGGGGCGCGACGATAACAAGTAACGACTGCATGTTTCTTTCACAACCATTCTGTACTACTCTGTTTTGCGTGATGCCAAAGACCTGCTCTGCAGTGACATGAAAGCATAACGGCACACACGGCACACCACACAGTGCATTTTCGTGCCACACATGATTCGTGGGCAGCAACGAGCTCAAAAGAGGAAACGAAAAATGCGGAAAAACTTCCAAAAAAGCTAGGGAGATATCCTGGGCGCCTGGGTCCCTACGTCACGCCTGGTCTGGGAACCGGGTGACCGGCCGGGCATGACCCCGGGGCAGCCCCAGCGCAAAAAGAAAAAAAATCCAGAAAAATCTGAAAAATCCAAAAACATCTGAGAGAATCTGGGAAAAAAAAAAAAAAAAATGTTGTGTAGAATTGCAATACAAACAACTTTTGGCTGAGGTCACATCAGAATTCCTCACGGAACTGAAGATAAAAAAGAAAATAACCAAATCACACTAACGCACCCCCCTATAAACCCCTTTAGCCCCTTTAAATTTTAAATTTCATTTATACTCCCCTT